TTTCAAAGGTTCTGTTGGACCTTGGGCATTTGTGTTTTGTGGTAAAGTATCTGACTTGATTGATAGAGGTGGTGTAGTGGTTTGAGTACTGGACTGGAGAACAGAGTTCGAATCCTGGCTCGGCCCTGGAAACCCACTGGGTGACCTTGGCCAAGTCACACTCTCTCAGCCTCAGAGGGTGGCAATGGCAAACCCCTCTGAAGCAACTCTCCAAGAAAATCTTATGACAGGTTCCCCTGACGGGTCGGCATAAGTCAGAAATGACTTGAAGGCACATAATAACAACAAATCTGGCATGTCCCTTTGCAACTTTCTTAGGGTACGTCACTGTAGAAATAATGCAGGTTGAGACCACTTTAACTGCCACAGCTCAATGTTGTGGAATTCTGGGATTTGTAGTATCGTGAGACATTTAGCCTTCTCTGTGAGAGAGCTCTGGTGCGTCACCAAACTATAAATCCCAGGCTTCCGTAGCATTGAGCCGTGGCAGTTAAAGTGGGATCAGTCTGATTTAGTGATGCGCTGCGCAAGCAGCCTTAGTCAATCATCTTTGTGTTTAAGGCAGCAATCCTATATATACTTACCTTTGTGTAGGTCTGAGATCCTGGAAAGGTTACTCAGTTTGAACTACAGCTCCCAGCATCCCCCAGGCAGCCATGCTTGAAGCCCTTCCCATATTTCGTGGGAGTTACGTTGGAGCAAGAGCCAGCATGATATAGTGATTTGAGAGTTGGACTGTGACTCTGGAGAACAGGGTTCGAATCCTGGCTCAGCCTGGGTGATTTTAGGCAAGTCACACACTCTCAGCCTCAGGGGAACCTGGCAATGGCAAACTGAACAAATCTTGCCAAGAAAAACCCATGAAAGGTTCGCTTTAGGGTTGCCGTAAGTCGGGAATAACTTGAAGGCCCACAACCACAAGTTCTGAAGTGCAAACTGAGCCTCAGTTCTTTTGAAGGCAGACATTTTGAGGGGGAGAATTCCTTTGTTACATTTCATAATGGTGAGGGCCTATACTGTAGTGCCAGTGAGGCCTAATAGTTTGAGCGGTGGACTACTTGAGGGTTGGACTATGACTCTCAGGCCCAGAAAAACACAAGATAGGTTCGCCTGAGGGTGCCAAAGAAATGTGTCCCTTCTATCCCTCTGCTAATGGATTGAAATTTGTGGGTATAACCGAATTCTGCTGTTTCAGGGCCTGAACAGACTGCCAGAAATAATCCAGCTCGAGTCCACTTTAACTGCCCTGGCTCAGTGCTAGGGAATCATGGGAACTGTAGTTTACTATGGCACCAGAGCTCTCTGACAGAGAGGGCTCAATGTCTCAGAAAAACTACTATTCCCATAATTCCCTAGCATTGAGCCAGGACAGTTAAAGTGGTCTCAAGAGGGATTATTTTTGGCAGTCTGTTCAGGCCCTCACTTCCCTTGAAATATCTTTAATCACCTATAACTGGCTGCATCTACACTGCAGAATTAATGCAGCTTGACGCCGCTTCCACTGCTGTGGCTCCTTGTTATAGGATTCTGGGATTTGTAGTTCTGTGAGAGGCTTAGGCTTTTCTGTCAGAGGACTCTGGTGCCACAACAAACTACAAATCCTAGGATTCCAGAGGATGGAGCCATGGCAGCTAAAGCGGTGTCAAAGTGGATTAATTCTGCAGTGTGGCAGCAGCCTGTATAATGTGCCGACAGTTTGTTATTTTAACGCTGTTAAATAAATAAAATCCATGCATTGTTTATTGTTGTGGTGTGTGCCTTTGAGTTGTTTTTGACTTGCGGGGTTTGCCATTGCCATCCTCTGAGGCTGAGAGAGTGTGACTTGCCCAAGGCCACCCAGTGGGTTTTTATGCTCAAGTAGTGAATTGAACCAGAAATAGCGCAAATTGAGTCAACTTTTAGGGTTAGGGTTAGGGAATCATGGGAACTGTAGTTTATTGTGGCACCAGAGCTCTCTGACAGAGAAGGCTCAATGTCTCAGAAAAAAAAAACAATTCCCATGATTCCCTAGCACTAACCCTAACCCTAAAAGTGGACTCAATTTGCACTATTTCTGGCAGTCTGCAACCTCCCTAAAACTCTCAAATTACTACTACTCCACACTGGCTCTCTATGACTCTGCTTTAAAAACCAGGGCTGGATCCTGTGATATCCTGGGATTTGTAGTGTCGTATGATTGCTAGCAGGGTGTAGCAATCTGGGTGTTGGACTGTGACTCTGGAGACCAGGGTTCGAATCCCGTCTCAGCCATGTAAACTCAGTGGGCCAACTGTATATAAGAAAATATGTGTATACTTTCTTTTGCCTCTGTTGTAAAGTGCTTTTTTGTTGATGAAAAATTGGTTTCAGGGTTAGAAGGTAGTTTCCTAGCATCTGTCCAAACTATTAAAAAGTAATAATTATGCTTATCTGAGCTGGGGAAACATGTTTGGATTATAGCTGTTTTTCAAGATCTGGTTTTGGTGGGGTTCACATTATTCCTCGTCGCTGCTTATTACAGGATCCATTGAAATATATTAATGTGATGAGGATGAGATTAAATAAAGGGAGATTTAAAGCCACATTGGGTAACTTAAAAGTCCTTTTCCTGTAGCTGTTCTTAACAACTCTGAAAGTAATTAATTATAAGATCTGATCTTGAAAGCAAAGTAGGGTCAGACCTGGTTAGTACTTGGATGGGAATCCCAGGTTCCGTAGGTCCAAAACACATTGCAGAAATAATCCAGTTTGAGACCTCTTTCACTGCCTTGGGTCAGTGCTAGGGAATCCTGGAATCTGTAGTTTATTATGGCACCAGAGCTTTCTGATAGAGAAGGCTAAATGTCTCACAAAACTACAGTTCCCAGAATTCCCTAGCATTGAGCTAGGGCAGTGAAAGCAGCCTCAGACTGGATTATCTCTGAAGTGCAGATGCTGCTCTGCTAAACCAGGGTTTGAAACCAGGATCCAAAACAGACTGCAGAAATAATCCAGTTTGAGACCGCTTTAACTGCCCTGGCCCAATGCTAGGGAATTCTGGGAACTGTAGTTTTGTAAAATATTTAGCCGCTTACAATTGGCAGGATTCCCTAGCAGTTAAAGTGGTCTCAGACTGGATTATTTCTGCATAGTGTTTTGGATCTGGGTCAGAATCATCCTGGTTAATGCAAGACGGGAGTTGTAGTCCAAACAGGTAGCTTTTCCAAGCTCAGTTTAAAGGGTATTATTTTTATTATTATTATTATTTCTGCAGTGTGTTTTGGACCTAGGTCAGAATCATCCTGGTTAATGCAAGACTTGGGAGTTGTAGTCCAAACAGATAGCTTTTCCAAGCTCAATTTAAAGGTTAATAATAATAATAATAATAATAATAATAATAATAATAATAATAATATTGCATTATTATTGTTGTTGTTGTCATCCCACCATTTCCCCCAAAAACTGGGACTCAGAGCAGCACACAATTCAAAAGAGCAGTACAATTGAAAACCTACCAAAGCGATGCATTAAAAAACACACTCAATAATTACAATATTAAAACAGATCACTTGTTAAAAGAATAAAATGCAGTTTAAAAAGAGAAAAGTGTCTGAAAGAAAGAAAGAAAGGAAGGAAGGAAGGAAGAAAGGAAGAAAGCCAATGCCTCTGGAACAGGGCCAG